GAGAAGAGTAAAATGATGGGGGTCGAAAAAGAAGAGGTAAAAGGGTATGCGGAAAAAAAAAAAAAAGAGGAAGAAGAGGAGGACGATGCGGAAAAAAAAGGTTTGATTTATTTGCTTCAGTCGTCAAAAAAAAACAGACATAAACAAAGAACTCACCCATCTGACCAGGCTGCAGAAGTTGTCCAACTAGTCCGCTTAACAGCTGGTTGAATGTCTTCGGAAAATAGTTGTTATGTTTAGTTTTAAATGTAAAAGTATGTTCGAGTTATGAACAAATAATAATCAAATTAAAAATTAAATACAAACCTGTCCTGGCTGCTGGCCTGGCGTAGTAGCCCTTACATTCACAGTTGCTCCCCTGGTTCCAAATGTTGGAGGCGGCATTTGTGGTGCAAAAGTAGGCCGAGTGAACACAATCCTGGCCTGGGGTCCAGTGTGGGGAGGAGGCGGGACAGTTTGTGATGTCGTGGTTGTGTTGGAACCTGCGGTGGTTGTTGAGGAGTTAGCTGCGGGGCTGTAGCCAGGCGGTGTGAACTGCGGGGGTACCGGCTGGCCTGTTGCGGCGGCAGAGGCGGCAGCAGTAGCAGCGCTGGTAGCTACGGCCGCGGCGTAACTGCTGATTTGTTGCATTAGATTTCTCACAAAGTCAGGCGGGAGAGCACCTGATAAGAAAATGAAGCAAGATTTTTTTTTTTTTTTTTTTGTAACAGTTAACAGAAAAGTAGAATGTCTCAACAGTTCATATTTTAGGCAGCACCTAATGACATCATCAATGACACAAGTTAGTTAATAGAATTGCTTAATCTGATCAATTAACAATCGGTTTTGTCCAATAATCCACTAGGAAAACATACACGACGACATACCGTTTTACAACAATAACGTATTTACTGCTTAAGAATGCTCTCCAATGGAGAGCTTCTTATGTGAACGTTACGTATGCATTAGCATGCGGAAATATCGCAGGCTCAAGATAATTCGGTTTACCCGAAAGGGAATCTAAGTATTAAACAAACACTTCTGTAAACTTCTGGTGGCAATAAACCCAGCGGTGTTAGCTAATTTAGACGATACATTTTACGCACATGCCACAATGACGGACGTCATTCACGATTATTGCTACTCTTTGAATGATCTGTAGTGGCCGCGTACGCTAGAATTATTGCAAATTTGAATGTGCCAATAAGCAAAAATACAAGAAACTATAATTGTACTAATTCTATATAAATCCTACTATTATTAGACAACAAAGAACCTTTTTTATATATAAATGTGAAGATTGAAATTTTCTTTTATTCTAATAATGATTCAAGGTGAGACTATTTTATAACACATCCAACATAATGTATGCATGTTCCAAATTAAATATTTAATTCGATTTGGACAAGAGCGATTGTTAAGTGTAGATGAATTGTTACAATGAACAACTTTTCAATTATTTTCTGTCATGCCTCCACTCCTTAATGTTCTCCATTGAGAACCTGACAACGTGTACATTATTACCTGTACAAACCACTGTACGAGTTGCTGCCACCTAGTGACTGGAGGCTTGTTATCATTCATGCATTACAACAGTGATTACACTGGGAGGTACTGGGCAATACTGGACACCCGATAAATCTTGATTAAAAACATGGAACCGTTTTTTTAACTCGGCAGTTTCTGCAGCCCTGCAGAAATGGAAAATAAACGTGTTCAAAATACACAAGACAAGAACCTTTTACCTGGTTGTGCAGGAATCTGCTGGCCAGCTGCAGGATTAGAGCCTGAACCTGCCCAAACGACAGCAAAAAAAAAATGGATTGAAGTTGAATAACTTGACTTCGACTCTTGCTTTTCCCTTTTATCAATAAGTCAGTTCTTTGTACGTATATCTTAGAGAATGTACAAGTGAGAAACAGCGAGTCGTTTTATTTTAGCACTGTCACTGCGTTGTGATGATCATTTCAGTAAGACAGATTCAGAGCACTCATCAGTGGCATCTCATTGACAACGTACCATCTGCGTTCATCTGCATGATCCTGATGACTCGCGGACCAGCCTGTATCTGTGTTGGCGGTATCGTTTGTGCAGGAGGCGTCTGTCCCTGACCTGCGGGCTCTGACGGGGTAGCTGCCTGATTGGCAGGGGCTTGTCCTTCCGTGCTGTTACTTGCAACAGTCACTGTGGCACCCAGGTTCATCTGTTGGCGGAGACAGGGACACAATCATCGTGACGTTCAAGAAGGAACTCAAAAACAAGTTGAAGTCATTTGAAAACCCCCGTCTTCTTGTCTACATAACATTCAATGTCAAAGTCTGTCAGGGAACCGAGTCAATATGGTTTCATAAAAGTATGGACAGAATTAGGGATGGGTCCGAGCCGATCTAGTATCGATCCCCAACTTAATTAGTGGATCAGACCGATCCGGTCGGACCCGCAAAGAATTCCAATCCACGAACCATGTCTGAGCTCCAGCCTTGTCTGATTCCTGCCGATTAGATTACTTTAACTGTGGAATAACTTTCCTGAACAGAACAAGATCGCAAGGCACACAGTTCAGGAAATCCACTTAGAAAAGCGCCACATCGAAAAGGACGTGAATGCGCCATGGGACAGAAAGACATAAAGAGCTGTTGTTCCAACAGCAAGGTAAATTCCCGACAAAAGTACGTACTCGTACTCAGCTCAGCAATCTCCACTGTAGCAGACTTTATTCCAGCAGTGACCGTTTGAAGACTCCTGTTGGCTGAGGAGAGCAGTGCTGACCGCGAAATAAAAACAATGAAACACATGCTTGTCCTGGACGCGCGATACAAGGACAGACGAGGCCTCTTTTTTATTAAAAATTATTAGTTTTCTAACTAAAAAAAGTCATATCCTGCTAAATTAGAGGCACGCCGCTGTTCAGGAAATCCACTCCACATTTCGCAGCCAGATAGCAGGCTGCAAAGAAATACGTCGGCTGTGCGGTAATATTAGAAAGGACAGGAAAACCACACAGCAACATGCGATATTTGCAGAAATTCTGAAATTCGGTGTTGAGGTGTAGTCGTCGCTTCATGCAATACCACTAACTTATTTAAACATAAAAATCGCATCATTTGTTTTAAGGATGGGATTTTTTCCATGTTTACATGGTTTCCTGTATTTTTGACTTCCTTTTATGACCCTTATAATAACCTCAAGGTGATTTTGGGAAATGCATGCATATAATAATAAGAAAATATTAAGACAATAGTATCGGAATAGTAACGGTATCGGCCGATATCCAAATCCAAAATATCGGGATGGGATGGGATCGTCAGTGAAAAAAATGTGGATTGGTGCATCCCTGTTCAAAGCTATGAAAAAAAATGTACCATTAAAACACTGTGATCAAAGAAGTATTTTTTTTTGTTCATTTATAATCTACGATTATGAATTGTGAAAATACAGATCAATTAAAATTGCCGACATTTGTGAACAAACTACATCTGCAAGCCACAGTGTTCAATGTATGCTACAGTCTGCACAGAGCTACAGAAAACACAACAAATGTATTCCCATCTTAGTTCTTTTTTTTTTTTTTTTTTTTTTTTCTTACTTGCACTGGGATGTGTTGGTGTACTGCCCCGGGCAGTGTGACCGGGGTAGAATAGTGCGAAAATGGACGAACCACATGCAAGTGGCGTGGCACGGGGCTCATGAGATTCAGACGCAGGTCACTGAGTGCCACAAGAGCGTTGCCAAGGAGACGAAGACACTCCATTGAGGCAACGAGAGTCTGCTGGTCCTCTTCTCGTTCCTACCGCAAAAAAAAAAAAAAAAAAAAAAGACACCTCATAAAATACATAACATAGATCGGTGGTGCTCAACAAGTAATCTACTAGTAGACTTTTTAGTTTTTTTATTCTCAAATTTTTTTATGTTTTTTTCCATAAAGAAACAAATAGAAATGATATATTTTTGCTTATTGTTTGCAAGAAAAAAAAAAACTAACAAAACTAAATCCTTGACAGTTTTAATATGTCTGTTCTCAAAATTGTCCAAATCAAAGTGGGCAAATAAGAGTGAATGTGTTACATCATCAAATTCACATTTAGTCGTCACACTGTTGAAGGGTCATCATGTCCCATCTCTTCATGAATAACTGCTATTAATTCTTCTAAATTATTTGGTTTATGCTTTGAAACAGACATTTAAAAAAAAAAAAATCCACTACAGATTTTCAACTGGGCTCCTGTCTAGTGATTGAGCTGGCCCCTCTAAGACCTGACAAGATCGCGAGGCACGCCGCTGTTCAGGAAATCCACTCCACATTTTGCAGCCAGATAGCAGGCTGCAAAGAAATACGTCGGCTGTGCGGTAATATTAGAAAGGACAGGAAAACCACACAGCAACATGCGATATTTGCAGCGCTGAAATTTGGAGAGATGTAGTCGTCTCTTCATACAATACCACTAATTTATTTAAACATAAAAAAATCGCCTCATCAAAGAGGACGTAAATGCGCCATGGGACAGAAAGTAAAGAGCCGCTGGGAGTCTGTCGTTTCAAAAGCAAGCTAAACTCCAGACCTCCGCTGTCTCAGACCGTGGCCGTTTGAAGACTCGAAACAGCGAAATATAGACAATGAAATACACGCTCGTCCTGGACGTGCGATACAAGGACAGACGAGGGCCCCCATTTTTATTAATGCTCCAATTTTTTAAACTAAAAAAAAAAAAGAGTCATATCCTGCTAAACTACATGCTGACTGACTGTCAACGTAGCCAAGGGTGTGTGCGCGCGCGCAGATGCACACGTCGTTGTAAGATGTTTACTTTGCTCACTTAATAAAATGTTCAATTTCAAACCCATACAGTCACGTATTTGTTTTAAGGATGGGATTTTTTCCTGTTTACATGGTTTCCTGTATTTTTGACTTCCTTTTATGACCCTTATAATAACCTCAAGGTGATTTTGGGAAATGCATGCATATAATAATAAGAAAATATTAAGACAATAGTATCGGAATAGTAACGGTATCGGCCGATATCCAAATCCAAAATATCGGGATGGGATGGGATCGTCAGTGAAAAAAATGTGGATTGGTGCATCCCTGTTCAAAGCTATGAAAAAAAATGTACCATTAAAACACTGTGATCAAAGAAGTATTTTTTTTTGTTCATTTATAATCTACGATTATGAATTGTGAAAATACAGATCAATTAAAATTGCCGACATTTGTGAACAAACTACATCTGCAAGCCACAGTGTTCAATGTATGCTACAGTCTGCACAGAGCTACAGAAAACACAACAAATGTATTCCCATCTTAGTTCTTTTTTTTTTTTTTTTTTTTTTTTTTCT